AGAAGAATAAGAATAATACACCCACAATAAGAAAATTCGCCATGGTTGAGAAACCCTGGTCTATATAAAAGAAGCTCGCAAACTCACAGAGACCCTGCCTTAATATACCAATGACGTTGGAAAATTCTTATTTTTCATGATTCTATAACCTAACTGCTTTTTCCTGGCATTCAACCTGATAAATGACGCTCTGCGCGAATCAACCTCCTTAATCAGGTGCTGCTGTTCGGGGCCCAGCAACCATGTTCCCTGACTTTACATTTTTGTATGTTATTTTTAATCACGTCCATATCTGTGTGCATTCAGCCTTTTCAAGGGGAGAACTACACTGCGATCTGTAAAGAAGGGCGAAGTACTCAAGGCCGCGTGTTGCAGTTTCCTTCCTAGGTCAGAAGTGTGAACTGGGGTAATTTGACCCAGACATGTGAACAAATGAATTTCTTCTCCAACCTAGTACCAAATTCCTCTACCAGCTGCTATTCCTTCTCTCGTAAGGGCGCTGCAGCGGTGAAAATGCAGCTGGGGTGAAGAAGCAGAAGAGACTGAATTCCGAGAAGAATTTCTGAGATCACTTTTTTGGGGTTCGTGGCCAGATTTTGGAATATGCCAGGGTTTTAGGACTGAAAGGCTCCTGGATGGTCATCTTCTGTGGCCAGAGGTATCCGCAGGATATGGTAAAAAAAAAGTCAGTATGGATGTCGTGGTATGCAACCAAAGTTCTGCCTATTTCTTTAATGTGCAACAAGCATAAAAAGCAGGTGAAGCTCACATCACACTGTTGCAGCCACCATCTTGACTTTTTTGACGGTGGACCCCCATTAGTGGCTGCCCAAACAGATTCTATTGAGTTTGCATGGCATGACTACACATGGTTAACAAACCATGCTTTACAGGTAGTCCTTGACCTACAACCATTTGTTCAGTGACTGTTTGAAGTTACGACAGTGCTGAACGAAAGGTGGTTACAACCGGTCCTCGGAGTTCTGGCTGTCCCAGCACCTCTGTGGTCACGTGCTTGTGACCTGGGTCTTGGCAACCTGTTTGCACTTGTGATTGGTTGCAGCGCCCCACAATCACGTGATTGCCATTTGCAACCTTCCTTGCTGGCTTCCCCAGAAAGTCAACTGGGGTAAGTCTCCCTCACTCATGCACCCTCCCTGACCCTTGCCACACTGCCGCACACCTGCCCGACCCACACGGCACCTCTTGTGCACCTTCCCCGACGTGCACTGCAACTCTCACACACCCTCATGCGCCTTCCCTTGCACCCTCACACCCCCTCCCCGCAACCCCATTCATCCCCTCCCCCACTCGGCAGCAGCCACTTACCTGCCTGCAGGCCTGGGACCTGCCAAACTCCCGCCCCCCCCCCCCCCCCC